ATCCTAGTGCTCATGCAATCAAAAGAAATAGGTAAATTAATAACAATAGGAATGTGAGTTACTAAAAAATGCCCTAAGCATTAAGGCCATAAACTTCCATTAACCAAATCGTTAGCTATCAACAACTTCTGCCCTCTTGTCAGATCCAAGTAATGAAGACTAGTCCCCTTTTCATCCACTCCACTTAGCTTCCTCAAGTGTAAGTCTTGAATCACAAAAAAATTTGACTAAAAAGTTGCTATACAATGTAAATCGAGCTAATTTACTAGGAGATGATAAACGAAAGCAAAAATCAAAAACCCCAAGAACTCACTCAAGGATTAATCTTTTTCTAGGAGCAACTTAGTCCAAAGCATGAACCTCATTTGTTTGGCTGTTAGGAATTTGTATTGGTGGTATATTGGGTTAAGTCACCACATTTAATAAAGAGTTTATGTATTGGGTTATATGACTTGTGGCACCTATACCAACAACCCATTCATCGTTTCTCTTATCGAAAAAATTGCAAGCTACCAGGTTTGCAGATGAGTTATCGATTAGTACTCCATGACTACTTAGAAAACTAGTAGCTATTAATGCTACACAGAAGTTAAACTTGGGATCAGTGATCCAATTCCATCCACGTTGGCAACACAAGCAACTCTTGAAGATATGCTCGTCATAGCATTGCCACGCCATTAATTTCCACGGGAATATTGATCACCACTAGTTTGTTTACCGCTTCTCTTTTTAGGTTTGCGCTAATCTGGTGGATAACTAATCACCTTGTAACAATACACTTTTGTGAAATGCCACCTTGAGTAAGATGATAAGTTAGGAAATCTTGAGGTGAGCATATAGATTATATGTTTCGAACATCAAACTTAGATTGAACCTTTAAACGTATTACTGATACTTTTAATTGTCTGTCACCTTTGAAGCAAAAAATTTTCTAAGTTTGAAAGGGGTCAAAATATGTAATTTTTATAAAACAATCTTTTGAAAATAAAAAATAATGGTAATGATTCCTTTGGTTTTGAATCAAAAATGATTTTTTCTTAATTTTTGGAGCACGTTTGCTAGGGTAAATGAGAACCGTAAATTTAATTTCAGTCAAACTTTTCAATTTTGGTCTTGAAAGTAAAATTTAGATTTTGATTCTTTGAATTTTGATATTTTTGATATTTTTATTGAATTCAAAAAGGGGATTGTTTACTTAATTACATTAAATATCTTAAGTAAATGGAAAGTAAAAAGTAAATAGAACATTTACTTAAATGGTATTTAATGTAAATAAGTAGGGTAAGTTTTATAGGCAATCTGTCTCAGAAAATTGCATTCTGTATTAAATGTATTGATACATATTCATGATGTATCAATACATTAAGCCTAGAAAGGGTTTTTGATGAACATGTAACAATATTTGTTCATAATATATCGATACATTTTCCCCAGAACCAAATGTATCGATACATGAGCCAATATATTGACACATTTTGTTGATTTCAAAAAGAATAAAAGGGGTAAAAATGTATTTTCACACCTTAGCTTATAAATATATCACATTTTTCAAGGGTTGGCAACCCCAACCGCATTTGTAAGGTAAAACATCTATTCTTAAGCTCTTTCAACACATTTTTTATGCAAAATTCCATTTTATAATTCTAAAGTTTAGATTTGGGCTTTTATAGACAAAGATGACATTTTTAGCTTTTAAATCTTTTGGCTTCCGATTTTCATACTTAAATAGTTGTGTGATTGCCAAACTTTCTACCGGTGATTTAAGTATAAAAGTTTTGTGATTTGCTTAAACATCTAAGCTCACCTAAGGTAAGGATGGAAGATTTATGAGTTTCTAAGCATGAGTTTTAAGAAGAAAATTAGTTTAGCCAAAGTTAAGTAATTTTGAAAGCACCTAGAATGATTATGACAAAATTCTTATTCTAGGAAATGATTGTGATGATTATTGTATGATAGGAACACTTGAAAACTCCATGAATAACGTCAAATAGGAGTTATGATTAGAGCTAGGAATCGACTCTCCAATTGGGTGAGCGGATACACTACTTTCAAATTATTTTGATATGTAAAGCTAGCATGATTTCGATGAAAAAGATTATTTATGCATGTTGAAATTATATCTCTAAATTTGGTTATCAAAGGATTTGAGATTCTAGAATGAAAATGATTTTCTAAGAAAATAAATTGATAATGATTGTGATGTGATTTACTCAATGGATTTTTTTAAAAAATGTTTATGAATCTACTATGTATGCAAATACTCTACTATGTATTAGTTTTCAATAAAAGGGGACAAGCACCTTATGTTTGAAATCCACTCGATTACTCTGGTCTCAGACTAAAGTGGGTACAAGATATTGTATGCTTATTTACAAATGCTATAATATGCATGTTGGTATGATGAATGCCATAAGATTATGTATATGAAACAAATTCCATATACCATATGAGGTGATTAACTATGCATGATTAATGTCATGAGAATGTGTATATGATATATATTCCATATACTACATGAGATGATTAAGTATGCATAATTAATGCCATAAGAATATGTATATGATGTTTATTCTATACATTACATGAGATGATTAAGCAAGTATAAATGTCATGAGATTATGTATATGATGTAAATTCCATATAGCTTATGAGATGAGTAAGCATGTATATGAAGGACATTCCACAAACCACATTCTACGAGTATGAGAACTCAAAGAGTGCAATTGATACCACTCTCACGGGGTGCAAGTGACGACTTCACTCTTATGATGCATCATTAAATGTCCAAAGGCAATGAGGATATACGTTGCTAGCCCAAGGTGCAATGGGGATGTGCATTGCTAGCCTAAGATTGATGAGGGTCAAACCATCACAATGTATGAGTTTTAATGTTAATGAAATGATTATGGTTGTTATGTTTATGGTATGTTGTATGTTGAATTCATTGGAGTACTGTTTATGGTTTATACCTTATGGTGGCATGAGAATGTGCTTAGTAAGAAGAATTGAGCCCTATAGATAGTTCTCGAGATGTAAAAGGACTTAAGGAATGGCAAAAATGATAAAATTGTTCAGAAACTTGGTCTCTGTGTTCAAAGTATCAATACATAGAGAGCACGGATCGATACATTCTAAATAGATTGCCACAGGAGGCTTTTTATGTGAGATGTATCGATAGATGCTTGAAAGTATCAATACATTGAATGATGTATCGATAGATATGGTACAGAAAAGGATGTTTGAGTGAATTTGATGAAGATTTTAAAGGTAAAGGATTTCTAAAGGCTTATATAAGTTTGTTTTCAAAGAAAAGGTATTTAAATTAGTTTAAATGACATGTATAATGAATTTTATGATTCAGAAGTTAGGAACAGCATGAGTTATAAATGCATGGTTACAAAATACTCTTATCCCCTAGCTTGTCCATTTCCCGTATCCACTTACTGAGTCTTTGTGACTCTCACGTTATTTTTCCCATTTATTTTGTTGTAGATCAGTGATAACATCTGATAGCAACCAGTGTTACGAATACTAGTGTCCAATCTTCATTCTTTGGTAGGTGTCTAGTAGTCACTTGATGCATAATAGGTCAATCACATTCTACTAACGAGTCAGTCTTTACATTAAGTTATATTTACAGACTATGAACATTTTTATGTTGATATCACCAACGTTTGAGCAACTTATATGAATAATGTTATGTATGAGATCATGATGATGGCTCGAGAGCTTATATGGATACTCGAGAGTGCTGATGATGTTTAATGTTTATATTATTGCATGCTATGACAGTGGTACTTGTTAATACACATATAGATATATTAAGTTGACCTTACACAATTAACTTGAGAAGTTCTTTTATTGTGTAATAAGTTTGAAGAATGTATGTATTACAATTATATATGTTAATGGATGTGATATGATGCTTCCGCCTGAGATGATGAATGTTTGATAACGTTATGATAAAAGGCTTGCTTGGGCCTAACCGGTTATGCTCGTTTGGATCCTTGCGTCTGACACAATCCTTTCTGGAAATGGGATGTGACAACTTTGCTACGGTTTGACTTCCCATAATGGACACAAAATGGAAGTCGGGCACAACTCTCTTCATCGTTCTTATTCTGTTGCAATTCATTTTCTTTAATCAACAAAGCAATAGCTTTTTCAAGATTTGTAACAAAAGAACGTTGATTCTCTACATGTGGTACAATAACGTAAGCTTTTCCAAAATTTGGCAATGGATTACTACTCAATATTTATGACCACACAATTGAAAATACTTCACAAATCCCCATGAAAAAATCCAAAATGTTCTCTTCCTCATGCATAAACTGCATCATTTAACTTCAAAAAATCATAGGAGAAATGTGGGAAATCTGTTTGGTCCATGACTGCAAATAATTTCTTTTGATAGGAAGTATTTTAATTTGGAATAAAATAATAGTAGGATGGAAAAAATAGATTTTTTAGGTACTAAAGCCAGAATATATATATATATATATATATCACTACCATGTATCCATTTATATTACCTCATCCCTCGCTAACTTTGTTTTCTTTCTTTTTTACTTTTATATATATTAGAAAATGGTCTTATTTTGTATATTTTATATTATAAATTTAAATTATATATGATATTAATTATAAAGTATTTTTTATTGTGAAAAAGTTTAAAATTGAAAAGAAAAATAATTTTTAAAAATAAAAAAAATTAGATACTCAAATATGCAAAACAAAAGAAAACTTAATTTAGAGAAAAGTCAAGAAGTCAAGCGTGATAGCTTAAATATAATTTGTGTGGTGGCAATTAACTAAAGGAGTCAAGCAGCCCCACAGGTGGACAAGTAATCCAGAAAGAGAAAAAAATAATGGAGAGAGCCCACGCCAATGTGAAATGCAAGGGTAGTTCGGGTCAGCAACCATCCTAATTCAAATTCAAACTCCCAATTAGTATTGCCTTGCAATGTCTAAGCAATTTCTGTGTCAACTTCCTCAAACGTGTCCCTCATCCCTCACGAGTATCTCACCTCCTCTATATATCCTTCCTCAGCATTCCATCCAGAGTGAGCACATCTCCGATCCTTCCCTCCCTCCTTCTCTCTTTGCTCTCGAATAAACACATCAAAGGAAAAGGAAAAGAAAAAATGGACAAACTTGTAAAATGCGATGCAAATTATGTGCCACTTACTCCCTTGACCTTCCTGAAAAGGGCTAGCTCTGTGTATGCTAACCGTACTTCTGTCATCTACGAGAATACTCGTTTTACCTGGCTTCAAACATACGAACGTTGCTGTCGCCTTGCTTCTTCCCTTCGCTCTCTGAACATCGTCAAGAACGATGTTGTAAGTTTCATTCAATCATCACAATTGACATCCATCGCATTTCGTTTTTTTCGCATTTGAAACTATATATGAATTAAATTACGTCCATTTGCAGGTCTCAGTGCTGGCTCCTAATGTTCCAGCCATGTACGAGATGCATTTTGCTGTTCCCATGGCTGGTGCCGTTCTCAACACCATCAACACCAGGCTTGATGCTAAAACTGTTGCCACCATTCTCAGGCACTCTGAGGCCAAGGTGTTGTTTGTGGACTGTCAGTATGTGCCGCTGGCACGTGAGGCTCTCCGGATGTTGATGGGTGATTCCCACGAGTCTATTGCAGCCGCCGAGTCCTTAATTCCACTGGTAATTGTCATAGATGACATAGACTCGCCCACTGGTGTCCGACTGGGCGAGTTGGAATACGAGCAATTAGTTCATATGGGCAATCCAAGATTTGTCCCTACTGAAATCCAAGAAGAGTGGGATCCTATTTCGCTCAACTATACATCTGGCACCACATCAGAACCCAAGGGCGTTGTTTACAGCCATAGAGGCGCATATCTCAGCACATTAAGCCTGCTTTTGGGGTGGGAAATGGGGACTGAGCCTGTCTATCTCTGGTCTCTCCCTATGTTCCACTGCAATGGTTGGACCTTTACCTGGGGTATCGCAGCACGCGGTGGGACCAACATCTGTCTACGCAACACCACTGCGTACGACGTGTACCGGAACATAGCCTCTCACAAAGTGACACACATGTGTTGCGCACCCATTGTATTCAACATCCTCCTGGAGGCCAAGCCACACGAGCGCCGGGAGATCGCTTCCCCCGTCCAAATACTCACAGGCGGTGCGCCCCCACCGGCCTCACTGCTCGAGAAAATGGAACTCCTAGGCTTCCATGTAACGCATGCTTACGGTCTCACGGAGGCCACCGGCCCAGCCCTGGTGTGCGAGTGGCAGGCCAGGTGGAACCATCTGCCGCGAGAGCGTCAGGCAGGACTGAAGGCACGGCAGGGGATCAGCATATTGACACTCGCCGATGTAGATGTGAAGAATATGGAAACCATGGCAAGCGTACCGCGTGATGGCAAGACTATGGGGGAGATTGTTTTACGAGGAAGTAGCATCATGAAAGGGTATTTGAAGGACCCAGAGGCTACAAACAAGGCCTTCAAGAACGGATGGTTCATCACAGGAGACGTTGGTGTGATACATCCAGATGGGTACCTGGAGATCAAGGACAGATCAAAGGATGTCATCATATCAGGGGGTGAAAACATTAGCAGTGTTGAGTTGGAATCGGTTCTGTACAGGCATCCCAGAGTTCTGGAGGCAGCTGTAGTTGCAATGCCTCACCCTCGCTGGGGAGAAAGTCCTTGTGCTTTTATCGCGGTGAAAGAGAATGCGGCAGGGAAAACAGAGGATGTAAAGGACGCTGATATCATTTCCTACTGCCGGAAAAATCTTCCTACTTACATGGTTCCAAAGAAGGTGGAATTTCTTCAGCAGCTGCCAAAAACTTCAACCGGGAAAATACAGAAATTCCAACTAAGAGCTTTGGCGAAAAGTTTCCGTGTCCCCGAGAATTCCACGAGCAAGAAATCTACCCCAGTCAACAAGGAAACTCCCTTTTACCAACCTCATGAGCATATGCTTGCTTTGTCCCGTCTTTGAGTGATGAAACTAAATTAATTGTTAATTAATCCAAGCAAATACTGGGAATAAACTACGCTTGTACATGTACACAGACCCACCGTGGATTTGTCTTCTATCTGCAGGCTGCTTGTCAATGCCATTGTCTGAGAAATTATTTGATGGAAATCTTCTTTCCCTGTATTGTGTGGCTTCCCTGTCCAGTTCATGTTTGTTTGCCACCTGTTACTTAAATTAGGTTTTTTAAAAAAATTTTATTTAATCGTATAAAAAACGTTGGTTGACGGTCTTTTTGGTTGAATCTCCAAAGGGAAAAGTGCTCGAGAGCTTCAGGAAGTCAATGCTTGTTGCTTACTCGGTGGACAGGAACGAGATTCATACTCTTCGGCACTTGCCAAAATACTGACCCGTTTAAGATTTTATATAAAAAGTGAATAAAGAATAATTCAATAAGATGATGGATCGCGTTAATCATTCAATTTAGAATATAAAATTTTATTAACGATTTAAATATTAATGTTAAAATTTTTTAATATAAATAGATAAAAAAATTAATATTAGATTTTTCATATTAGACATCATAAGTTGTGGTTGACATGTTTTCATATTTTTAAATTCATGGATGATTAAATTAAAAAAATAAAAAAAATAAAAGAATAAATAATCAAATGGTTTAGTATACTTATAAAGGAGAAAAAAAAAGGAAAAAGAAGAAAAGAAAATAAAAAGAAAAGAAAGAGAAAAAAGAAGGAAAAAAAAGAGAGAAAAAAGGAAAAAAAGGGTTTAGTATTCTTATAATTTCTACCAACAAAAAGAAAAAAAATTAAAAGTTCTTATTCAATCTTATTTCTATCAGATAAAGAAAACTTTTTTTTTTATTTTAATGGAACGACTAAGAAGTGGTTGGAGGCTTAGAGTTTTAGTTGGTTAACATAACGTATTTATATAACCAAACTAAGTTGTAACCCTAAATACAATATTTGTATTTTTATGTAATTAAGTTCTTTTGAACTTAATTAATTTTTTAACTTTATTTTGATCTATTTCAATTAGGTCTAATTTAATTGATTATCTTTATTTAATCTAAATTATGTCACTTAATGTGTGTGACCCATTAGGCTTCTAACATGTTGAAAATAAATATAAATCATAATCAAATATCAATTTAATAATTGATTTATATTTATAGATCATGAGCATTATCTAGCAACGCATCATGTTGACCATCAAAATATTAGAGAGTCAATTAAAGAATTTGACAAAACCCTTCAATGATAAGCCTCTTAGTATAATATGATCTTTTCATCAAATATCGTAGATAATAATAAAAAATAGGTCAATGTTTACTTATAACATTCCATATTAGTTCTCATAATTTATCACTGACTTTATGGATTTAGGAAACTAACTTTCCTCAAATATATCTTACTTTGGCCAACGAATTTACACAAGTTAATCTAGAAAGGAGAACAAGTGAGACACGTCCCCTCGTATCACTTGGGGTGATGAATCCTTTCTTGACCACTCATCCACCATTGTATGCTTCATGACATACCTAAAAACACCTTGTTTATACATTTAGTCGTCTTCAGACCTATAGGGGTGAAATCAAAGTATGTCATTTTCTATACAAGATGACCTGGTGTTTCAAGTTCAAGGACGAGTTGTATGAATATCACATGAGAACTTATTCCATAGACACTTGAGTGAAAAATCAAATGGAGTTATCATAACAAGTCATGTTTAGTGCACTAGTCCTTTAACAAATACCCACATGTTATCCTCAAGTATTACATATGCTTTAATCTATGAGATCAATTGCTACTTTTCAAGTAAGGAAGCTTAACATGTAGCAGTCTTAAAGCATTGTTAATGCCTTGTCTTGACAACACATTGACCAGGAATAGTTTTAGGAACATGGCTTTGATGCATAGTGATCCCATAATTGTAACAACTTTATAATTCTCTTGCAAGACCTTTATATTCCATGGGCTTCATCCAGTTAGTACTTAATAACTCCTTATTATTGCACTAATATAAAGAAAAACCTTTATAACATATAGTTCCATGATTAAGTATGCATTAAATGACTATATATATATTCCTTGACCAATCCAATTCGGTCAAGGGGCATATACTAACAATCTCGCACTTGCACTTGAGTTAATTGCTAACGTATCCAATATTGAACTCTCTTGTTGAGCGCCTGTGTCTCTACTTGGACAACTCAAATTACAATATTTGGAAATATGTTAATTTATATGTTTGGCAATCTCTATTATCATAATGAAAATATTAATTTAGATCATAACAAAATCTTGATTCTATTATTATAGCTCTTATTGTTACTTTAACAACTTCAAATCATTTATTGGTTTATTAAACCAATGATCCAAATATATATCCTTTTGTAGCCTATACAAAAGATTTGTATCCAATTATAGATATAATCATACAGCTATCTCTTGTTTTGGAACCATTCGATTATAACTACTCAATCACGACTTTATGTCACCTTAAACATTTAGGATTCTCTCTATGTTAAACTCCTTTAACATGTCATCCTACATTTTTTCGTTGAGTCCCCTTTTAGGTTTTAACTTTTAGACTTATTTTATTTTTCTTAGACTGACAAATGTATTTTATACACTTTTAATAAATAACTTATCTTATCCTCACCGACTTTAGAAGTTGCACAAAATATGTTTATCTTATTCAATATATCCAACTATTTTGAATTAATTATATTGAATAGAGATTATTATCCAATCATTCATGTTGAATCATTTAGTAGACTCATCTTATATGAGTTATGCATCAATATGCATCCTCCTAATAATTTTTATTTAGCAGATGAATTATGCATATTTATGCATCCCATTAAATCAATCTTTGTGCATAGATCTTATATATAGGATTTTATAATTTCATGACCTTTGACTTTTAAAGCGTCATTAGCTCCCAATATTTCTATCATGTATAGAAATCTTACCAAGTAAACTTATTTACTTTCCTTTGGGGCATTAAATCCATAACTATTATGTATACTTATATATCATAAGTCATTCATCATTGGTTATGGGATGAAATCCTCTCAAAGATTAGTTTATGCGATTAACTTGATTTGGAGTGCTTTGTGATTCATCTTTTATGAATTTAATATGATAATCAATTGTTATTTAGTTCTAAGCAATCTTAATTTAGATGTTTTATTTCAATAAGAATGCTTCTTAACTAAATGTGTTCATAATCATATTATGAATTCATTGAGTTAGAATTCAATTTTATCTAAGTTATCTAGTTAATTTCCTTTTGATTAATAATAAAAGAAAAAATGATCTTACAATAACCATATGACTTAGTATTGATTATCATGTATGCAGGGCTATACTTATGGATAAATAACTTAGACCAATTCAAAAAAAAATGATATGCAAATTAAATAAAAATATATAAGTTAAGCATCTTAGGTTAGCAAAATATAATATATGTTTCCCAAATATAAAATAAATTAATTGGCCATAGGTTGAAAACCAAAACATCTCATCTAGGCAATCATGCCATGAAAATGTTCAATATTCTAAAATTATTTATTGTTCCACAATGTAATTTAAGCCGACAAGCTTGATTACCAACATTGAGGTTGTCGCTTTCATGGTCTTATTCTTCACTGCTCCTTGTGATCAGTTCCTTCAATATGTCATGCATATTAAAGCCTTTAATGAAGAGTAAAGTATCATATACTATGTATTGAAAAATAAATCATCATATGATTCATATCTGAAGTTGAAGTTTCCTTTTGTTTCTTCTCTTTGATGGATTCAAGATAATCTTCGCAATTATGCCTCAAATGCCTTAGTTTACCCAAAAATGGCATTTGTCATTGCCCTTGTCCTTCTTCACTTGTTCAATAGGACTCATACTTTTCGAAGTTGATGCTTTATCACCCTTGTCTTTCTTAGATAATTTTTTTTTCTTATTTTTAGTTTTCTTAGAAGAAACAAGATGAACTGAAGGCCTTTCCTTCGTAATGGTGTTCTCAGCTTGTGTGAGCATATTCAGTAAGCTTGAAAGGGTCACCTTAGTCTTGTTCAATCTAAAATTCAACACAAATTGTGAATAACTTTTTGGCAGTGAAGAAAGTCTAATGTCTATGCTCAAATCATGATCCATGGCCAAACCCAATTGCTTGAGTCGAGTGATATGTCCTGTCTTATCATCTTTAACACATGAAGCCTTACTAATCTTCCCTCAAACATATTACATCAAAACAATTCCCTTGAAATGACGAATCTCAAGGGAATAAAATTTCTGAACAAATTTTAGCATTTTTGCCATTCCTTAAGTCCTTTTAGATCTAAGGAACTATCTTTAAGGCTCAATTTTTCTTACTAAGCACATTCTTATGCCATCATAAGGCATAAACCATAAACATTTATCAAATGAACTCAACATACAACATACCATAAGCATAACAACCATAATCATTTCATTAACATTTAAAACTCATACATTGTGGTGGTTTGACCCTCCACATCTTTGGGCTAGCAATGTATATCCCCATTACACCTTGGGCTGGCAACATATATTTCCATTGCCTTTGCTCATTTTATGATGCATCATAGGAGTGAAGTCGTCACTTGCACCCCGTGAGAGTGGTATCAATCGCATTCTTTAAGTTCTCATACTTGTAGCATGTGGTATGTGGAATGTCCTTTACATACATGCTTACTTATCTCATAAGGTATATGGAATTTACATCATACACATAATCTCATGGCATTTATGCTTGCTCATTCATCTCAAGTAATATCAAGTAATATATGGAATATACATCATAACATATTCTAATCGCATTAATCATGCGTACTTAATCATCTCATGCAGTATATGGAATATACGTCATATGCATATTCTCATGGCATTAATCATGCATACTTAATCACCTCATAGGGTATATGGAATTTACATCATATACAGAATCTTATAGTATACATCATGCATATTTGATCATCTCATATGGTATATGGAATTTGCATCATCATACCAGTATGTGCATTATAGCATCAATAAATAAGCATTCAATATCTGGTACCCACGCTAGTCTGAAGATCGGAGTAATTAAGTGGACTTCAAACATAAGGTGCTTGTTCCCTTTTGTTGAAAACTAATACATAGTGGAG